CCCCCCCCCAAAAAAAAAAAGAAAAAAAAAAAGATTAGGTCATTGGGTTAACCAGTGATTCACTCGCATGGCTGACACTTTGCTTCTTGTTGCTATTTGGCGGATTCAATTGGATTGTTTTTGTTGTACCGACATATCAACGCGCACACTTCACGATCCTGCTAGGAGGGAAGCTGCAGGGGTTTATTAACTTTATTTATTATTGATGATGGTATCTCAACGGTCAGCAAGGTTGACGATGGGGCGAACAATCCTCATGTGCATGGTCCTGTTCAATCTGCTGAGCGTTGTTCCCACGGAGGGGAATAGTGCTGCAGAGGGTGGGGGAGAGGAAGACAACGGGGTGCGGTACATACCCATCTTAGGTAGGCGAATCTCTGTCCTTCTCTTCTCCCAATCTCTCCGATTCTCTTCCCCTTCCTTCCTGTCCTGTTCTCTCTCTCTCTCTCTCTCTCTCTCTCTCTCTCTCTCTCTCTCTCTCTCTCTCTCTCTCTCTCCTCTCTCCCCCTCTCTTTTTTTTTTTTTTTTCTTTTTTTTTTTTTTTTTTTTTTTTTTTTTTTTTAAAGAGAGGTCCTGGGTGTAGTGGAGGGTGGTGGCCAGGCCTGAGGACATGCCCGTACTACTCATCCATTGGGAGGGAGGGGTCAGATGGATTGCGAGGTCCCAGGGCCCAGGGGGAGTCACCTCAGGATGACACCATCATGGTACCATGGTACTATGGTTCCATGACCCATATGCTAATGCTCAGATCGCAAGTAGTGATCTGCGGATTCTGCGCCAACGCTTACCGGACTTACCCGAGCGTATTCGTGCAGACACCACCCTAACTCTAATCTTAAGGACGGCCCGGGCACAGGTGGGGTCCGTGCATACACACTATTATGCAGTCATCCCCCATCTGTGCCTCATCCCGCAGACTCTATGGGCAGTGAACCGCCCTTCCACCAAGATGCGATATCCCGCCCTCCCCCCCCTTATCCTAAGAGGCATGACGCCTTCCTACCCCAGGCTCCCCAAGAATCCACAGTCCCATGTAATTCCCCCAATGAGAATTAATTCCCACGGACCCCAAGTTGAACCTGGATGAAGCACCACCCACAGGCATCGTGAGATACCTGTGGGATGAGAAGCACCCCGTACCTACCCCGTACTAACACCCAGTTTGTGCATAGGATTTATCCTCCCCGAAATGGGCCCTACCCTAGTCGAAGTTCACTCTGTGTGGACTCTCGTACGGGTGCCATAGTGACGGGAAACATACTACCTTCTTCCCCCGATTACAATGGACTGTTAGACTGAAAGATACCCCAAATTCAGCAATAATGACGGTACGTTGTATTGGCGGGAAGACTGTAGCTGTACCCAGGCTCAACCATGGCATGTCCACCGACTAGTACATACTGGCGAGACTGACAGATCGGAGGGTCTACGTGGCCACACAGAGGTATCGACGGTTTCGACTGATTTGGCAGTTTTTAGTTATCCACAGTCTAGGCAGTAAACCCTCTCCTTTTAATCTACCCTAGCCTATCCCTCTCCCCCCCCCTCCCCCACAACCCATGGTGGAGCCAAGATAAGACCCTGATCTTCACACACCCCTAATGAAAGATCAATTGGCAATTACTCAATATGGCCCTATCCAGCATACTACAACCATGGACCTAAACCCCTAGAGTCCTTCGGGACATCCGTGAAAATTGGAACGATACAGAGAAGATTAGCATGGCCCCTGCGCAAGGATGACACAACCATGGACCTAGACCCCTTGGGCAGTGCACAGGCAGTGTCTGTGTAAATCTTACCATGCATTATCCCAAGGAGTGTGTGTGAATCGCTTGTGCATTATGAACGCTCTACTGGTGTACATGCAAGCGAGGCAGCAAGCGAGTTTTGAACCTGCGACCTCATACCACAATGCGCATTTCCAGTTCCAGCCGGTGCTCTAACCACTGAGACAACGGCCATCCACGATGAGGGTATTTTCCAAAGTATCCCTTATTTGATTTATATTTTATTTTCAAATATATATCAATGTTTTATTATTTTGATAGTATATGTTTATTTTAATTTTTCAGTATTTATAGCTAGGCTACCAGCCGGGCCGCCTGAGTCCCGGGTGGCCAGCCCGTGCAACGACCAGGGAAGGTCCCAGCCAAAAAAAAGAATAAAAAATAAAATCCAAAAACTCCGAAAAAAACTATGTTATGCAGAAAAATAAACTGAACAACTTTTGCCTCAGGGTCACATCGAAATTCTTCACCAAATTTAGAATAAAAAATAAAATAGAAAAACATAATTTTTAAATTTCATTTATTTAAATATAAAATTTTAATATATTTTTTTTAATATATTTATTTATTATTTTTTTGGCCCGGCGGGGCAAGCGACCCCGGGCCACTCTGGTAGCCTGGATTTTTAGTATTTTACCTATTTACTCGACTGTTCTCCTTCCGTCTCACATGTACGGCTTAAATCAAATTTTAGATCATAAATTGACGTTGAATTGGATTCAAGCATACTGTCTTCTGATTTTAAGCTATTTTTAGATCACAGGGTTGAAAATAGATCAGGTCATTTGCCCCCGCGGGCCTCTGCACCCCCCCCCCCCCCCCCCCCCCCCC